GAATAAACAGAGAAACAATCAAACAGAAAAACAATCAAACAGAGGAACGATGAAGCAAAGAAACAATCGAACAGAGAAACGATGAAACAAAGGAACAGAGAAACAGAGAAACGATGAAACATACACAAACAACTAGTGGAAATTGTACTTATGCTTGTCTTATTGTAATTTTCATTGTTATATACAAATCAAATCTTTCGATATTGTGAGAGTCTCACTCACAGAATGATAAATAAGTTGATAAGACGACTCACGAGTGAGCTCGATTGGTCTTTTGTGTGTCTATTATCACAAACCTGTGTCAAGTCAAGATGATAGGTCCATTTTTCTATCAACAATTTAAATGAAGCTGATAACTGTTACCATTCACTTTCCCATTTAATTTGATTGGTCTCAATTGATAATCTTTTCACAAAGGTTACAGAACTTCCATATCAATCAATACTAAACAGTTGCTATCGATAATATTCTGATAATTCTCTTGAATTGGTTAAAGATCATTTTCGTTATCTCTAACAGAAAAGTTTAATATCTTTCTATTTTCAAACCTGTGATAGGTCCATTTTTCTATCAACAATTTAAATGAAGCTGATAACTGTTACCATTCACTTTCCCATTTAATTTGATTGGTCTCAATTGATAATCTTTTCACAAAGGTTACAGAACTTCCATATCAATCAATACTAAACAGTTGCTATCGATAATATTCTGATAATTCTCTTGAATTGGTTAAAGATCATTTTCGTTATCTCTAACAGAAAAGTTTAATATCTTTCTATTGGCAAACCTGTGATAGGTCCATTTTTCTATCAACAATTTAAATGAAGCTGATAACTGTTACCATTCACTTTCCCATTTAATTTGATTGGTCTCGATTGATAATCTTCGTCGCTTGGTTATCAGTATGAAAAGTTACCAATCGAATGTGATTATAAGCAAAAGGATATTCTCTTTCCCAACATGGACGAAGCACAATACATTTTGGACAGAAAAAGTGAACTTGTTGCCGATTTGATGAATGTCTTTTGATAATTCACTCTTGATCTTATTCTATCATGCTTATCATTGAGTAAAAAGTATCTATTCGCCTGTTTAGATACTTATTGATAGATTTTAAATATGGTTTTTCATGCTGATTATAAGGTGAATGGTTACCATAGAACATTCTAAAGCAGAAAAAGGAACTCAATCGCATAGAATAATACTAACCATATGGTTCTAACACTTTTAAAAAAAATGATTTAAATATCATTATTTAGATTTATATATATATAATATATATATAATATATATATATATATATAGTGAATAAAATCGAAAAATACTCCTCCACACAAGTGCCAACCAACCTTCCCATAAGAAAAAATGAAGCTTGCATTGAATATATATACTTTAATGCTTCAACTTCATTGACAAAAGCGCCCTCTCGATTATGAAAAATAGCACAATCTATGATCATGTAAACAAATTATTTTCATTACATCTTGGATTGCGATTATCTATTACTAAAAATAAAACTGACTATTATACTATTTGACTATTAGCTACAACATAGCCTCTGGTTATTCTTTTCCATCTAACTTATTCATAGTCTAATCATTGTAATGAAAATTTGATCAACTTGTTAGGGTAAAAAGTATCTATTCACCTGTATAGATACTTATTGATAGATTTTAATATTAGTTGCAGTGATGATTTCAATGTAAATGATTACCATATAACATTCAGAAGCAAGAAAAAAGAACTCAATTGCATAGAATGAGACTAACCATAAGAATCGAACTTGGTTCTAGAATCTGCTTCTCTTCTGTTCTTCTCTGATCATCTCTACATACAGATTTACCATAGAGAATTTTTTGTACTCCAAAAATTAACCATTTTCGAATAGATTGATCTGACTATTAGCTACAACATAGCCTCTGGTTATTCTTTTCCATCTAACTTATTCATAGCCTAATCATTGTAATGAAAATTTGGTCAACTTGTTAGGGTAAAAAGTATCTATTCACCTGTATAGATACTTATTGATAGATTTTAATATTAGTTGCAGTGATGATTTCAATGTAAATGATTACCATATAACATTCAGAAGCAAGAAAAAAGAACTCAATTGCATAGAATGAGACTAACCATAAGAATCGAACTTGGTTCTAGATAGAAATGAAAATTTGACGTGAATGATTTGATTATTAGTTTAAACTAGATTCTGGTAATAATTTTCTATTCAACTCATCCAAAGCATAATCATTGCCATGAAAATTTAATAAACTATCTAGAGTAAAAAGTATCTATTCACCTGTATAGATACTTATTGATGATTTTTTAATAAGAGTTTTTATGCTGATTATAAGGTAAATGACTATCATAGAACACTCTGTAGCAAGAAAACGGAGTTACATTGCATAGAATAATACTAACCATAATAATTTAACCTGTTTCTAGCCTCTGATCTCTTATTTTCATCTCTCCTTCTTTCACCCTTTCAATTTACAAATTTACCATCGAAGATTTTTGAGCTTAAAAAATTAACCATTATTGATTATTAATTTTATTAATTTAATTATCAATTAACTATTATTATTATTCATTAACTCTAAAGAATTCGAATCAAACGAGACATGAAAAGAGAAAGCGGGAAAGAGAGTTTCCAAGAATCATAATATTGTGATTATCTTGATTTAATGTCAGATAAATCAATAGCAACTGATTTTGAAGGAGGAGTAAATTCAACGTATATAACTGTCGTTTTTTCGTTTCTTTCATTTAGTTGGAAAATTTTATAATACCTCAACCCTAATTAAGTGGTTAATAATCATCCTTATGTTTAAAACTTTTTATCAATTTTTTTCTAATCCATCCAATGTATTGGAAAAGTGTGATTCATCTTCGTTTGAATTACATCTCAAAAACTGCAACAATGAAACCGTTTCCTTAGACAACATACAAGAAAGCCTGATCAACACAATAGTGAAAAAAGTTGGACTAATTCAACATGTTTCGTATGTCAACTCTAATAAGCTCAAGTTAAAACCCAAAGCTGACATCGACCAATGTTTATCAAATCTGGCATTACGACTGTCCAATCTGACGATTACAGCCGAATTAGGAACACTAATTGAAAATGATCGTTTACACGTATCTTCGTTTAACAATGTAATTACAGTTGTCGATCAAGAGCTAAAACCGGAATCCAAGTTTTCAATAAACACTGGTCTTTTTATACAATCAATCGCGGCTCGCAAAGGAGAGAAAATCGACAAATCTGATTTCATAATTTTGATCTATCCAACCTCATCTAACGCGAGAAAACTTGCCTCAAAAGGAGTTTACATTGACCCGGTTGTATGTCGACACGATGATCATTCACTACTGACGTTAAATGGTATCAATATATCAGCGGAGACACAAAAGGTAACCATTATATGTAAACTTGCTTGTTACAAAGCGGAATCATTTGGAAGTGATTACATGAAACTTGTTTCGAAAGAGGCGAATAGCTTGGAACTCTCAAATAAAATAGCAAACAAGTTGTACAGACATAAAAAATCTGAAGGCTCTATACTTGACTATGAGAGAAGTGTTGATTTCTCTAATTATACAACTACTATTAACAACATCGATGACGAGGTATCAGTCAAATTCAAGTTTGGTGTTCTCGAGCCTGAAACAATTCCGAACAATACGACTTATAGTTGTTCAAAAACAATGGAACTTGAAGTGGTTTTATCTAAACCCTACAATGACTACTCCGCAATGTTACTAGTGCCGCGGCGGAAAATCTGGGCCGACGAAAAGTCGTGGGTAGAATTTGGTTTATTCGAGAATAATGGGAAAGTTAGTGGTATGGCAAATTACCAGCCAACAACATACGATTATTGGAGTGGTAATCCTTGGGAAATTTATTTCCTCAAAGGAAATATCGTCGTAAAGCTAGAATATACGGATGAATTGTGCGATGCCCCTTATTCAAATATTATAAATGACTCTTTTTATATAAATATGAAATCTATCAGTAAATCATATGCAAGTCTAATGGATGCCTGCAGAGTGTTGAAAGTGTATGCAAAGTTTGTTAGAAACCTCATCACTTTCGATTGCAATCTCGATGTAATGAAATATTTGCATTACTTGGAATTCGAGGCCTTACAAGTGGATAAATCTTTGGAGCAAATACAGGCAGAATTGGATGTTAAAATTAAAAAAGGCAAGCGTAATGAAATTCAATCTGTAGTTGTGGAAGGAAGAGACTGTGTTCGTCCGAGTTTTGTGATTTGTTCAGAAATGGTCAAACTGTGGAGAAATTTAATTGCAATAGAACAAAGCAATGAATTACCACAGTTTAGTTACGAAAAAATTGGTACATATCTTGTTGATTACAATTCACAGTCCATTGTTTGTGGAAACTCTGGAGATCGCAATAGAGGACATCTTGGCAACGCTCTAGATAAAGAGTCAAATGATCACAACGTGGATACCAACTCTGGTTATTGTGGATCACAGAACCCTGTTGCTTGTTACCAATTACATGATTTATTTTCTTTCGAATTTAACACTCAAGACATTGAACAGAAGAACGAGATTCAAATTTCTGACACAGAAACTGTTGATTTGGAACCATATTCTGATTGCAAGTCTGAAAAAAGCAAAAGACAAATCGTTTATTCAACTGATACTGATGGTGGCACTGAATCATCATTTGATAAAAAAGCTCGGATGTCATAAGATAATTCATAGGATCATAATACGGCTTTTTACGTGTCAAAAAATTTCTTGCAACATGTATACATATAAAATTATAATGAGTTGAGCAAATAAAATAAGTAAGAGTTCTGATAATGTTATCATAGCAACAATGTTATCGTAAATGGAACTCATTTTCAAAGATATAAAATAAAAAGCAAATTGCCAATAAGAAATCATAACAGTATTGACTTCTTGATCTTTTTCACTTCTCTTTTTGTTCATTTTGAAAAGTCTAACAAATCGAACCATTCTCAATAATGGAAATTCTCATGTGGAGAAGGAAGCATGGTTCAAAATTTCGTCAAGCTTCCGATTACTTGAATTGTCGTTTAAGTGAAATGAAGTCTCATCTAGTTCTACCTTCTAAATTTAATCGTGACGCTTGGGATTATGAATGTTTATTGTGTGATAACTTCGTTGCTGCCTCTTATGAAAGATGGGATAGACATCGAGTTAAACATGACAGGTATGTCTGTAATATTTGTAACGCAAAGTTTTACTGGCGAGCAGAAGCCAACAAATGTGATCATCTTGAAAGAATTGTTGATGAATCCGCAGAGAAGGCTTATTACGGTACGAACTCTCCTGACTCCGATGAAGATGATATAGGAGTTGATGTTGATATCGATGACAGTAATGACTACAGTGGTGAGTCTGATGACGATGATGACCAAATTGATGGCGAAGGAGAAGAAGTAGTAGACAACGAAAGAGAAAACGGAGATGAAAACGAAAATAATGACGACAACAGTGATGATGATGATGATGAACAAGCTGAAGTGCAAGACGAGGAAGGCTCAGAACATGATGATGATGATGAGGAAAACGAATTTGAAGCTAGGTGGCCAGTTGAACAGGTAGACGCTGAAAGAAACACAGAGCATCTAACTTCCACCACAGCGCAAATTCGTTATCGTATGAAGAGGCATGAAGGAGGCCACCTTTTCAGATCTATTCTATCTAGATACAAACTGAAAAATTTGAATTGTATGACTTTGAATGCTATGTCGAATAAATATTAAACATATTGCCTTCCAATTTGCGTTTGTAATGAATATCATCATTAAGTTTTCTGTTTAATTACAATCAGGTTATATGCAAGGGTTTGAGGTTGCTTATTTACATTTATGATATAACAAGTAACATGATAGTATTGAGCAGCTAGTGCAACTGATCACAGACTGATGAAACGTGCGTTCAGATATCTTTACAGTATGTTGAGTTTAGTATAATATAGAATTTGGCATTTCTCATTCCCATTTGAGATTCATGGCCAAAAGGGAATTCAATTATTTTATAAAATTTAATTGCTTATCACACAGTAAACCTGAAGTACGTTGTTGACTTGTTCAGTATACAAAATTGATCACCTAATGATATTAATCAATAAAACTGATTGATTAAGCAATTTATATTGTTTTTCAATACAGTTGCTTAATCTTAATAATGCTTTTGTATTAACATCATTAACTAGACTTATAGATAAAATATGGGATGATTTTTCCACCTCTTATCATCTTTTCATCAAAAGATATGTCGATTTTCCGCATATTTAAGCGAGATCGCTCCACTTATGCTACCATTGATTGTTTTGATTTTCATTTAGTGAAGAAAATATTATTTTTCATTTGTTTCTTTTGAAAACGTTACAATGACTCAATCAGTTCCAACAGACAAAGAGATGGCAAATATGATGTCAACCAATTTCATGTCTATTGACAATTTACGTGTACCAGGTCCCATTGAGTATGATATTTCAACGATTTCTCCTGATGATGTTATCCAAGGTTTAAAAAGAAAAATCGATGAAGGTTCCAGTTCCTATTCACGTTATTATCAACGAATCAAACGAATTCGTTCTTCCATAGACGAATTCTGTGCAGTTGATCCAATGGTTAAAGATGATTTAGAAACTGCTTTCAGATTTCTCATCATGAAAAGTCACCCGTATCAATTGGAGTTCATCGATAAAGATATTCTCGACAAGGCAAAACGGATGGAGAATATACATCCTCTCGTGCTGGATGGAAAATTAGCCGAACTACAGGAACAGCGTTTACATGCAATGAAAGAGTGCGGACTTACGTCTCTAACAAAAGAAGCTGCTGACCTGCTCACTGCAATCGATAAGCAGAATGAAAAAGATGCGAGTGATGCTAAACGTTTGTTTGGAAGGCCAATTATACGAAACGCACTTAAGGAAAGCTACAACAGACGTATCAAGATGCTACACGAATCAGCGCGGGAACTCCAGTCAACGGCGATGGCAAAGAAAGAAAGTATACTGAAAATCGACATTGAAATCAAGAAACATGAATACGCTTGTTGTCCTATGTGCTGCCATTACTATTTTAAAACTGATCTATTGTATTCTAATTGTGGTCACAGGATTTGTTATTCATGCGAGTATATCACAAACTGTTAACTGCTGTTGTGTTGTTTGCAAACAAACACTTACAGGATATTACAGACTCGTTATTAATGATCAAACTGGTCGTGAACTGTTAATGTTAACCACAAAACAAGTAACTCTCAATATTGGTTTACCAATCGTGCAAATCAAAAACATTAATAATAATAAATGTACTAAACGTTAAGATATTGAATAAAATTATCAAGAAATGGCTTGAGTTGAACAACTATCGTAAAACCTATCGTAACATTTTTAGCTCAGCCATTGAACAGTAAAGTTTCAAGCTTATGTTGTTATGAGAATTTTATAGTAAAATTATGAATTTTATTTCCATTTATTTTGATCATACATAAAATAATGAATATTGTTGTGATTCTTGGCTTTCACTGATCGAGTTCTCGGTCTTCAGTAGCATGTTGTCATTCTTGTGTCTTGTCAGTCTGTTTTCCAGCGGTATTGTCACATGCATCATGCTCATGATTCAATGATTTACGTTGTAAGTCGGCCGAAAGAGTTTATACATTGAGGTTTTGTTGATATTCTCGTGCTGATCTCCATCTCTCTCTCTCTCTGTGTGTTTGTGTGTTTTTCTATGAGAGACACGGTTTCACTTGTTGTGTTTGGTAAGATGCAGTTGCACGGCTTTGTTCCGAAAAGACAGCCACAAACTCGGTATGGAAGACGATGAACAGTCTTCAGATGATCATAAATGTCTGACACTTCAAAACAAAGACAATCATCACAAAGTAAACATTCGTATTCTAGACATGGATCGTAAAACTCAAGAAAACAACTATCATCGAATATATTCCCATATGTTAAATAATCTTCAGCTGAACGGAATTCTGAACCATTTTTACATCTTTTGTTGTAAGATTCAATGCATAAAGAAAACATGATCATTGACTGTGTATTTGAAAAGAGAGAAAATGTGTAGTGTATAGATCCTCTTTCAACTATTTATATTTTATATTTCGACAAGAACAGCCCTATCTGTCCATAGTGAAGACGCTTCTAAACTTCTAACTTAACAGTCACTCTCAAATTATGTAAATGAGTGATGGGTGCAATTTTCTAGTTCAAAAAATAAATTTATTTATAAAAATCTATTCTCTGCATGGTTCAACAAACACTTTTCAATACATATGTGTTGTCCAAGTCAATCACGGAATTGAAGATAAAATTTAAGGAAATTTTCGAATTGTTAGCGTTTATCTTTATATGACAACATTTTCTTGTCGATCCCATGGTTTGACATGTAATGTTTCCTGAGGTCTGTCGCCATATTATATTGTCTTTGACAAAACTGGCATACGAGATCGCCTGTTTCCAAACTTGCCCAAGCTTTATAAACGGGATTTGAATTCAAAATTCTTTTAAATTTGCCTTCGTCAAACCGATCAAATGTAGCATGATATTTGTTTTTATGATCAATGGAAGTTGAGCTACATTCATCACCCAAATCAATACCAGAGTTTTGAGCAAATATTTTTTTTGCAGGAGAAACAATTACACTTTTCCTCATTTGGTTGTTGTATGAAGGTGTTACAATTTCACTTGGTCCAGCCTCACTGTACTGCGGTTGTTGTTTTCAGTTAATTGCTCTGTTGGCTCATTCTGTTCACTAGTTAATAGATCATGGGATACATTCAACTCCTCAGATTTGGAAACTGCATTAACTGGGTTTTCCGTTTGATTCTTGTTTTCATCGGTCTCACTTTCCGAATTGCTTTCTCCCAAACAAGTTAGATTAGTTATACTATGAGCTGTTACGTGCTCAACCAAATCAACATAAGAAATGGAACCATAACAGTAACATAAACCACACTGATAGAAAGTAATATTTTCGTGAGCCCAAATTAAAATATTTTTACCTGGTTCTGTTAATTGATCTATTTCATTAGATCTAGAAGATGAGCTGTTTTGCAACGTGATGAAATCCATATTGAATAAACACAGAAAGACTGAAAAAAATTCAAATCAATTCAATTAATCAACCAGTAAATTTACTTTTATAAGCTTTTAGCGATTATATACGATATCTCTGTTGTGATAATTTAAGCACAATGCACAATCAGAATAGATAAGAAAGAACTATTCAGTTAATCTGGTTCATTTTAGGGCGGAGACAACACTTTTCACATGTATAAATTGAAACATGGAAACGGAGAGACCAGTAATTGAATAAAATCTCATTGTATCTCATCCCTAGTAAGTTTTTCATTCACCAGTTAGCATGGAAGTTTTACTTTCTGGAAAATGGTACAAAGTGGCGCTCAGCAAAACATTATTTGTATTGCTTGTTGAGCGCAAAAGCATCCCATTTAGTTTTGCCTTCTGTCGATAATCCTGATAATTGGGAATACGAATGTGTTGTGATGATTTTGGGTTATAGTTACAAGGATTTGGAATACCATTTAAAGGAGCACGAGCTTTACGAGTGTGGAATATGTCCCGAGTTGTTCAACTGGCAGGGTGACGCTATTAGATGCCGGGAAAGTCATGGCTCTAGGTTGGCAGCCACATTGTATCATTGTTCTGGCATTGATGACTCGAGGATCTCTGAACAAGAAGCTAAACAGCCTGACGGAAGTGTATCAATTGACAACCACACAAGGCTCACAAATAACATTCCGAAAATTGAAATTTCATGCCTAAAAACCGAACCTGTGACTCATTAGAAGTTCAACAAAGTGTAACAAAAAAACTTGAAACAAATAAAGATTTTCGATGAATAAGTTCGCATTGACTAAGTTTTATTAACCAAATAAAATTTTACCATCACCATTTGCAAAGAGACTCGACTTCACATGAGGTTCGTCTTTCAATAGGTAAAAGTATCTATACAGGTGTATAGATACTTATTAAAAGATTTTCTGTTGAAGTTCCTAACTAATCACACCATGAAATATTAGCTTGGGCAATTCTGAACGAGAAGATTATTACATTCTAGTAGAATTAAACTGACTATCAGAATTAATTTATTTTGAAATCGAAAATTGTTTCTTTTGCTATTCTCTTCAGTTCAGTTGCAAAAATTACTATGAATAATTTAAACCGAATTAAATTTACCATTTTCAAAAAGATTCAACTTTACATGAATACTCAAGTTATCATTTTCCTGATTAATCATTCAAAGCGAAGACGAAAACACGAAAGTTTTATCGACTTTTGCTAGGTAAAAGTATCTATACAGGTGTATAGATACTTATTGGAATAATTTTTATTGTTGTTTCCTCATTATCAATAATATGAACGATTGGCGCGAACTAAACATCTTGTTGGAGTCTCATTTTCTTAGCTGAAAAATTCCCGAATAAAGTCAACAAATGGAATGATGTCAAAAGTAATCTTATTAGAAATTCATTTATTCAATCAAAAAAACATTCAATCTTAATGTTTTCCGCATAATGTCGGATAAAATTACTAGCAATAGTCTTTGCTCTTCGCTGGTAACGACTCCGCTTCGTGACTTTATGGTGCGAGACCCCTGGCAGTGAACAACAGTCATTGGTTTTCTCTGGACAAGCACCTGTTGGTTTGCTGGAACAATCGTGTATCCCAGGGTATGGATGGTGGATCCGAGGTACATTGGCACAATCCAACGTCGGAAAAACTCCAATACAGCTCGTGTGTGTACACGTGAAACTTTGAATTTTTCTCAATTTTGTTTGACTTCAGTCAAACTCGTTGATCGAAAATCATGGCCGTTTACGTTGATGACAAAATTTTTCTCTATCAAACCACCAGCATATACATATTTAACAACCCTCACAAATGGGTTCTTTCGGACAACAACTCTCATTTGTGGATCTTCCAATGGACTACTCATGTTAATGTTAGGAAAAAAAGAACAAGACAAAACAAAATAAGTAGCGAAAATATGTATAGAGAACTAGACACCAAAAATGAACGAATAAAGTTTCAGAGTGAATGTAACTGCCTAACGAGAAAACTAGTCAGTTTTATAGTTAATTTATCTATTATGCTTCAAATCCTGGTCATGAGGGGATAACAATTTACTCTCTTTCGATAATTTTGCATGTGACAATCATTGATAATAATAAGATGCGCGATTAAAATACTTCAGATTTAATCTGTGATATCTCATAATCTTAAAAATATAAACGTTGACTGACAGGTGATCTCTATTGATTGGCCAGTTTTAAGAGAAGCATATACAATCATATCATCAATGACGAAAGAGCAAAAACGATAAGAAAGTTATGTTGCTGGTCATTTTTTGATATTTTCGTGCCAAAGTCGCGATTAGTTACTTGATAATCAATCATTTGGCTTATGAGGCAAACACAATTAGTTCATCATCAGTTACTACCCGAATACCACGACCGACAGAACCGTTGGTATGTCCATCAAACACTTTGACTCTTTGGATCATTTTCCATTACGGCTAGCGTATGATCCTAACTCCTTATACAACAGTCAAGTACAAATCAAGTCAAATTCTTGAAAAATCGTGTACAAATCTTGTACAATTTGTTGATATGGTATAAAGATAAAAACGATCTGAGAAAATGATCAAGTACAAATCAACTTGGATTTTGGGTTTAAAAATTCAATTTTCCAGCAAGGTAGAAGTCGAATTGAAGAAACATTTTAAATATTATGTTTGCAGTGTCAGAAACTGAACTTGTGTTTCAATAATTTACAAATTCAAACGAAGAAAACGAAATAAGAGAGTCGAAAGTTGATAGAGAAAGCGGGACTATAAAAATTTATACACAAATTTGCAAACAGAAAGGCAAAAATAAAAATACTATTCCATATTTAAGGTTGTATTTTTGTTATATACATATGTATATAGCAAAAATAACTTCAGACCAGACTGATACAATAATACGCATTTACTTCTAACTCTTTAAAATCTCAAATGAGATATTTGAACATCATTATTTATCTCTTCTTTTCTCGCATCTTCTCAATATTTGTTTGCTTATTTGGAGATTGTAAATATTAAAATTGTTAATTTGCAATTTATTAATCAATTTATTGATTGTAATGTAATTGAACGGTAACAATTAAATCAACTGTCTAATTATAATAAGATTATAAATATTTCATATTAATAACTGATCGAAGCTATAAGAGTTTCGAATCAAGACTTAAATTCAATCAAATGATGTACAAAGTCTATTGTATCGATACTGATTACATTCGAACAGAACTGATCTCATAAAAGAAAAGTGGAGCGAGAGAAAAGTTCTCTTTTAAAAAGATGATAAAAGATAAAAGATGAAATAGTGAATGGAACTTTTTTTCTGCTGAGTTTCAACGGGAAATTCTATTTTATCATTTGAAAAACTACAAGTTCAAGGGAGCATGATGACGTTCTGGAGATAGAAGAAAAAAGAAGAAGACGAAAAATGAGCCAACTAGATTAGGAAGAGCAGAAAATAGAAAGAAAAGCAAAAAGTGTAAAGAAAAAAGTGATTTCGATTCAGAATAAAAAGGATAAATAGTGTCAAGAATTGATATAATCAAGTTATTAAGATGAGGAATAGACAATTGCAATGTAACATTAAGAGAAACAATTTGTTGATAAAGTTATTAGCGATGACAATGATCAAAAAAATCAATCAACTCTGTTTGTGCAATTATAGACTTTTAAACCAACAATGTATCAAGTATTTAATGATAATGGTCATGGGTAACTTTCTTTTTCATAATTGAGTGGATCAATGTAAACGTTAACGATTTACTTTTACAATGGTAATCAAGTCAATCCCAATCATTGATACAATTAACTAATCAATGGAACACATTTCCTAATTTCCAGAATTTATTATCACGGATTAATGTTCAAATGGAACAGGATTCCCAATCGATTAGAACCAAAGTAAAACGAAAATCAATCAATTAACTCAATAATAGCTATCGATTTCGTCCTTTCCTGGACACTGGTAATATCCGAACTGTACTCAAAACAATTCAACGACACGATAATTGAGAGATACTCGATATCAGGATCAATTGTTACCTGTACACAACTACAGGTAAACGCTGTATATTAAAGGACCATCATATTAACTTATCTACTAGTATTTAATGCAAAGGCTTGTACAAATTAAAACTTAATTATTCAGTTGAAATCATGGAAATACAATCAACTGGATTGAATAAATTTGATAATAAAAATTATTTTCGTTATTTGATTTGATCAAATTGAGACGAAATTGTATCATAATTTAATTAGTGGTCTAATTAAGGAAAGTAAAAAGGAGAAAGGAAAAGTAAAAGTGATGATCTGAATGATTGTAGTTCGGTTTGGTTGATTTAATTTAATTGTCCTCGATTGTACCTTTTTCTAGGAAATTGTGAGTTAATCAATTGTTACTCGGTGCTGTAAATTGTCAGCTAATTGTCAAGTTCTCAACTCAATCGATAAAGATTCTGTCAATGATTTATTGGAAACTCTGAGCTAAATAAAACTTATCAAGAATCAGAATTGATTATTTACCATCTTTACCAATGTTCAATTACTTTTGATTAACTTTCTTACCTGAGAACTACAAGATTTGTTTCACTATTAAATGATCAATTTCTTAATGAGAGTTGAACCTTTAATTTTACTCTTTATTGCTGCAATTAACTGTGAATGTACATTAATTCAATTTCGTATTGTCTTTCATTGACCAATTTAACTAACCCATCGATTTGTGAATCATTATGACAGCAAAAAGTTTTAAATTGCAATAATAAAAATTTAATCCCCTTCAAGTATCTGATTAAACCTAAACCCTAGTCGATTAGCGCAATTGAATCACAATTAGGTTAAGCTCAAAGTTAAGATTAGAAAACAAATAAAGGGTTATTTTCATATATTTAAAAGGGAGATTACAATTAGACTAATTTTACCAAAGATTAAGTGAAGATTAAGGTGTAATTGTAAACAGAGATGCAACCAAAATGATTTATAATTTCTTCATCATCTCATCAACGTTTATCCAATTTCCATCTTAATTTTCATTTAATCCTTGAAAAGATCCCATTTTGTAAACTCCTTTTAATGTGAAATTAACCAAACGCCCTTTAAATTGGTAAAATGCAGCTCATTGAGTATAATAATCATTGAACTTATGGTAGTGATCAGTTGAATCGTCATCAGTTAAGTGGTGGTCCTTGTTTCAATTGTTGAATCCGCTTGGTTTAGTTGTAGGGAAAGAATCACAAAGAAGACCTTTAAGATCATTAAGAGCTCGATCTTGAATTGTTTGATTACGTTGATTGTTAACACTTAAAGTTGGAATGAAAGAAACTGATGGTTTTAAAGCTTTGGTAGCAACTCGAGCGGCCTTGAGCAATTGAGTGCCTTCATTGCCTTTGGAACAGGTATCGATTGCAGTGTAGTTAAAACCACCTTGTTGGGCACACTGGATGAATTAGAGGGAAAAGTTGATTAGTAACATGATCACCATCTGTACCATGTAGTTGTTGATTTGAATGATAAATAATTCGCTCTCTCTTTCATTGTTTACTTGTTATTCATTTGCTTGAGTCTCCATCTATTGATTGTCCGTTCAGGGAAAACGAATGGCGAGTCAAAGCAATTAGTCCATTTTTCTTAATTAGATTTTGAATTCATTGATTGACAATAGAAACTGAAAAAATGGGAAATTATTCTTTGAAAGTTGTTTTTGTATGACTAAGAAACGATAAATAAAAATCATTAAGATAATCAGAGATTTCAAATTGTAATTTACAATTAACAATAATAATTAAAATACACTGATAATGTTTCGAGGTGAGCAAATGATTTAAATGAAAAAAGTGTTAAATATTAATTACTTTGCATCTATACTATTAAACAATTAACAATAAAATTAATTAGATAATCAATTAACTGTTGAATAACAATTGAATAATTGATTATTGTTATTGGCACAATAGTTAATCATTTGGTTTAAGCTGATACTTGTTTTTGTGTTAATTTAGTTATTCCAGCAGCCAATGAATCAATTCACTGTTGGTCTTGTTTAGCTTTCACCTTAACCATTGAAATTTTCATCATCACCTTGATCATCTTTCTTGATTTGTTGATTGTCATTATCAGAGGTAATTGAAGGAGAAAAGAATTGATTGTAAAATATAAATTTGATCAAAAATACTGTGACTGGGATTATCTCCAAACATCCAAGGATAATCAACACTAATCCAGGGAAAAGGATAAAGTTTTGTAATAGATTAAACTTGATATTTGTGATCCAAGTAAGAAGGTGACATTTGATAATAGTCCAAGGAAAGCAAATGCTTTACCTTTTTCATCGGCATCCACAATCTTGGAAACAATTGACTTTAGAGAGGGTAAAGTTAGCTCTGAAAATATAAATCCTAAAGGTGTAAGGAAAGCATGAAGTGATGAATGAGCTAATCCAATTGCAATTAAACCAACAGCTCGAGATGTAAATCCCATTAAAGCAAAAAGATCATCGTTCACAAGACGAGGGATAAATTTCTGTACCAATGGTACCATAATTAACAGAGTGCATCCTCCTAGAAGATAATTGATTGATTGTAAGTAACTATACAAATCGGATGTCCAATTTAACGGTTTGTTTCGTAGGAAAACGTAAAGAATGGACGACATTGAATTAGAACCAAAAGTCGCGATTAAGGCACATCCTATGATTGAGAGAAGCCAGAAACGCTTATAAGGGGTCGATCAACGATGGGTAATGGTCCAAATGACGCTGGTTATATGAGACAATCTAACTAATCCTCTGGGTGTGGGTTTTGATTCTCTCAGGTAGAAAAAGACGTAAATGAATAGACATGAATGAAGCATGAAAAGAATAGCGAGAAATTGATCATTTTTAATCAAATTTAATTACCAACGAGATAAACAGATTTATCATCCTACTAATTTAATAAAGAAACAAATTTTCCTGGTTAATTAGAAACGCTGAGAACCATTGTAACAATCAAAATAGATTCAAAGATAATTCATAGTTAACTTTTATTGTGACTTGAAAAATTAACTGTCACAATTAAGTCAACACAATGATAAATGCGCAAGTAATTTGTTCATTGATAAATATGGATAATTATTCTGATTATCATTACTTATTTTACTTATTTGTTTTAAATAAATCAATAAACCACCTCCTCCAATGTGATTTAATTTAATTACCGTAATCAAACGGCTGTTCGACAAAAGAAAACGGATGTACCCGATCATATTTATTCGGCTGAGTGTATCCTTAAGAAACGATTGAAAAAAGGTCGAACAGAGTATTTCGTCAAATGGAAAGACTGGGCTCAGAAATATAACAAATGGGAACCTGAGGAGAATTTTCTTGATGTTGCAGTGATTCAAGAATTCGAGAGGAAAAATCGAATGGAAATTAATACTTTGCCCGAAAATAATAATTCGCTAAATGAATCCAAAGTAGAAGAAGAGGAAGATGAAAAAGATGAAGAAGAAGTAGTAGAAGAGGTCGATCAACAAGTAATAAATCAACAACATTAGGCTAAACATCGAGAATCACCAGATGAACCACCAGAATTTCGGTATAGAAAAAATAATCTAGTTGATAAAATGCTGATAACTGATGTTTTCGCAAACCATGACATGACCATTACCGTTAAAGAGTTTCTGGTCTTACATCGGCCCAACTAATCGAAGAGTCGACAGATTAATTACTATTTGAAGAAAAGAAAAATCATCGAATATGTTTCGTGACCATTAATCCGTCACAAAGAAACCACAGAAACTTAACACAAATTTCATTTATTTTCCAACTTCCACTACCAGAGAAGTGGATTAAGAAAAGGATCGCGAGATAATTGTAATCAGTGTTTTCCTTTTGCTCTACTTATAAAGACAATCAGTAAATCGCAGTTAAAGGATTAATTACAATTGTTGATGAAAATTTATCCTCAAATTTCATCAACAAAGGCAAAGGATATAAAAAAATTATAATTTCTTATATACACATTGTCTCCTGAAATCTATTGATTGAAAATCGATCATGAAACGATCAAGCTTTTCATGCTTTTTTGTATAATCATAAATGATCAATTGATTAAATTGGTTTAAATTTTGCCTAAATTTTTTTTTCACTGCTGATTAATTTGATTTGCAGTCAGTTGGTTGCTTGATTCACAGAATGTTGCATCGAACAATTGTATTTGATTAATCAATTAACAACAATCAATGTGATAGACAAAATGATAACTTCACATGTTTGTACAATTAATGCAAAATTGATAAATTGTTCAGTGGGTTTTCATTTTCTTCAATGATTTCTGATGTATTTGTTTTTCATGCTTTCAGAATTAATGGATTGGTCACAATTGAGATTAATGATTCAGCACGATTGCAGCTAGATTGTTGTTGTTCTGAGACGGCAAGAAATGGAGATCAGTTAAAAAAAGTTAATAATCCGATCATTGGCTGGAATCAATTCAGTTGATTAAAGATCAGGTCCACAAGATTAAGATTAAATGTGACGATGAATACGGTTCCTGATTAACATCCATGAAATTTGTAACCAACAATCAAGATGTTATGTACACGCGAGGTTGTGTATCGGTGTATGTGTGTGTGTTGTGTGGGTATAATGTCTTCGAAAGAAAAAAGTTTGAATGTTGTTGAACGAAATTATGATGAGAGTTAATAATTAAGAGAAAAAGATCAATTCATTTTTAATAAATTTAGCATAATTCTGAATGAATGCGAGAGCTGCATCCTTAGTTTTTCTACGATAATAATGACTCCTTTTTTCAATATAGCCACTTCAATTGGCTCTCGATGTGATCCGCCCGCTTGTTTCTCTTTGGAATTGAACCTTGGTTACGTTTGAACAATCATGGATCCCTGGGTATGGATGATGAAAACGAGGTTCGGCAGCACACTCTCGCGAAGTAAAAACCCCAATACAGCTAGAATGCCAACAAGTGTAAACTGAGCCAATTTCTCTAATTTTTTCTTTTACCTTATCTAACCTCGTTGATTTAAAATTGTAACCCTGGACATTTACGGCAAATTTTTTGATTATCAGACCATCAATTGGACGAACATATTTAATCACCTTGATAAATGGATTTTTTCTCACGACGTAGCCCGTCATATTCGGATATTTTGTTTCGAAGTTCATTTTTGTTATATTCTTGAATGTCTGTGAAATGAAAAAAAAATCAATGAATCAAATATTATCTTGAGCATTCTGCTAAAAAACAATTTAATCGAGTGAACAGTTGTTAAGATTTTATAAAAAAGAAAATTCATCCTTTCAACTTTTCAATTGAATGATTAAGATTTATAATTCAAAATTGCATGTCGGATATTAAAATGATAGTATATAGTTTCCATTTTAGACTTTCGTCATCAATGATATAAAATGTAGATGTTTAAATTTGTATTTTCTGATGATTGACGAAAAAATATTATTCTTCTTCATGCCTTTGATTTTGGAGATTTTCTTCCGCGTTTCGTTATCACATCCACTGTATTTTTTAAAACATTCTTTCATGCGGAAATCGAAGGTATTCCTTATGGGTGCCGAGTCTCGCAATTCACACTTTATTTTATCCACACGGGACAAGACTCGTTCTCCACAAATTCCACATTTCCATAACTCATGAACATAAAATAGGTGATCTGTGATTTCAGCAAGTTTTATGAAGAACTCGTCACACAAGCAACACTCATATATGCTTCGATCTAGATATGCTGCGTCTTCTTCATTTAAAAGATCACCCAACTCTAACTTGCGACAGTACTCATCACTCATGTTGATCTGCAACAAAAAAGAAAAAAGTCACTTTAATTTTTGTGTTTCACGTTTTTGTCATTTTTCAGTCCTAAATTTCTAGTTGTATCTAAATTACTGAATAATTTGTTAAAATATTTGCTGATAATGGTTAGGATGGAAAGGACCTATGCCGTTATTTAGACTTGCGTTAGATTTTTGAATTCAACAACAAATCACTTCTTTCACGTAGAAAAACGTTGAATTTTGATCATTTTCATAAAACTGAAAATACTAAAAGATTTTTCTTCTTAAAACTAATTTATTCAAAAATCGATACAGTTAATCCTTGTACTCAATCTATGCAAAATCTTTAAATGTTCACGCGTCATCCATCCAGCATGCGTAATTTTTTGAATATCATCAAGAATCATATCCTCGGAAAACGTTCGTTGTGAAAGTTCGCCTCCATATTGACATGCCCATTGATTATGATCGTAACAAGTATCCAAATATGGTGAAATTGTAACTATATCTTTGTTACCATTGATAATATGCAAGTTGTGCTCAAAAACGCTAACATTCGAAAAGAAAATACTGGTTTGAAAGTTCCGTCGCAAGTGGGATTCAAAATTGCTGTGTCTGGAGTCCAAGTCTAGTTGAAAAATTTTTCTGTGCTGTTTTCTCATCCAAAGTTCGAGCAAAATTTTGAAACCAGAAAGTATTGCAAATTTGTCAGCACAAAACGGTCGTAAAGCCTCGAAAAGCTCATATAGACGGTTTTGGATATATTTATTTTCTTCTATTCGGCCTGCAATTGAATGGTAACCCACGATATGTTTGTGTTGCGTGAGACAAAAGAAACAGTCTGGATTTATATTTTTTTCGTAGCGACTATAAGGTGAAATAATATGAATTAAATTTGCCTGATTTTGGATGTCAATGTTTGAACAAATACAACTCATGGTTTTTCCCTCGAAGTGTTTGTGTGAAAACAAATTTGCCAGATCTGGCCAAAAGCATTCTAATAAAACAGGTACGAGCTCGAGATAATATTCAATGTAAATAAGTGCTTCTGAAGTGCGACCCATTGTTTGTTTCTATTATCGATCCTAATATAAAAAAGTTAGAAAAAATAAATCAAGTGATTCGTAAAAAAAGTAGAATCAAAATAATTTTGCTGGTGGAAATGATGCAACCAAGAGAGAGATAGAGCGAGAGAGCAAAATTCATTGAGAATAAGTGACATAAACACGAACACAACAACAATAACAAAGAAGAAGAATAATCGTTCTTTTTTCTTATATGGTGAGAATTATTATCATTGTTACTTGACATAAGCAGAGTAACTGCATAAAATAAATTGCCATATAAAGAAATTTCTTTAAGAATTAGATCAACCTGGTGATCTTTTTGTTTACAAACGTAAACAGAATCAAGGTAAAAGTAAAACAGGTAGAAAAGAAATAAAAATCAGTTCCGAATTCAACTTAGGCCGATATGAGGCCATTGAAAAATGCCTAAACAGAATTGAGCATAAGTCGAAGGAAAAACAATTAGAATGTTTTTTTGAGTGGTGCATGTATAAACTTGGATTTACTGTTCGTTTGACGAACTTGAAGCCAAAAAAGTCCAAGAGATTTAAATTGGTTTATAACCAAAGAACAAAAAGTTTTTGTTGTTTTTTGAAAACAATTCGAGTCACTGGGAGATATATGAGAAGAGGAAATAGACAGAAATAGGAAGTTGGCTCTTTTATGATTAACAAAAAGGAATTACCATTGAATACCTAAGATTGAGATTTGAACATAAACAAGTTTTTTCCAACATCAACAATTAGTTTTACATTATTTATATTTTCAATATTTAAACAGAACTGATGTTGTTGTTGATGATTAAAGATGAGGATGAAATTTGTTTTCGTCTCAATATTGATTGAAGATATTGAA